TAATAATAATAATAATAATAATAATAATAATAATAATAATAATAATAATAATAAATATAGCTGCAAGCAGCGATTACCGGCTTTCGATGTTATGCCTGAGTTAGCGCTGAATTGCATTTATGCAACATAGTTATGACATTACACTTCTGTAATATCTAGGGTAGTGGAGACATGTACTGTAATTCGTTTACTATATATTGTAGGCAAATCGATCACAATGTATGTTGATCTAGTCACAGAATGGTGAACTGATTACACTATATGAATTATATGACCATATATGGTCATTTGAAAATTTAGCCATTTTACTTGTACAATGCCTTCAATATGGCATTATTATCATATCTCTAACTTCAATAGTGATCGAGATATTAGGGATATGCATATTTAATGAGTTCAATGACTATATGGACGTTTTAGCTATTTCTCATGTCCAATGCTTTCAATATAGTATTGGTTCCATGTTTGTACTTGCAATAGTGCCTAAGACATTAGGTATATGCATATTTAATGAGTTTCATGACCATATATGGTCATTGAACGTTTTAGCTATTTCTCTTGTCCAATGCTCCTAATATAGCATTGGTTATATGTTTATACTTGCAATAGTGCCTAAGATATTAGGGATATGCATATTTAATGAGTTCCATGACCATATATGGTCATTGAACATATAAGCCTTTTTTTCTTGTCCAATGCCTTCAATATAGCAAATTGTTTGATTGGCTCAGGTAGAGAATTCCAATGTTTTACGGCTGTATATTTTAAAGTATGTTGGGAAAGTGAAAGATTCATCCTGGGGACATAGTAGTTGTTACCTGACGCAAGTCGTATTGGATATAAATGAGGTAGAGGGGAGAGTTAATCATTGATAGCATGGGCATAACGGTCGCTTTTCAGATTATAAATGAACAGACATATCTTAAATTTACACAACTTGTGAATACCAAGTATGCCCAGTTTTTTTAAAAAGAGGGGCAGTATGTGCATGGTAAACTGCAAATGAGATAAGCCGTACAACTTTCTTTTGCAAAAGAAGGATAGGCTCTAATAGTGTATGATAGGCGTTTCCCCATATTTCTAAACAATAACTAATATGCGGGAGAATCATGGAATTGTATAACAAAAGTAAATAATTGATTGGGCAAACACCCTCTATCGCAAACCCATTTATATCCAAGCTGCTCTTAATGCCCAGGTGTTTATGAGGCGTTTTAATAGTCATGCATTTGTTTTTTCCACATTGACTGCAAGTTTATTGGCACTGCACCATTCACAGACTCTTTGAAAATCGTTGTTTGTATGTGCAAGTTTGATTGTGTTACTTTTAATATACCAAGGCTCGTATCGTCTGCAAATAGGCGAAAGTCAAAAGCATTAGTAGAGTTATTGATATCATTTATTTAAATTAGGAATAAAAGTGGGCCAAGAATCGATCCTTGTGAACAATTGATAATATGTGCGAGAGGATGAGAGATCGGTGCGCAGCGTCTCTTGCTAGTTTTGGGTGAATGTTGTCATGTCCAACAGATTTTGTCGGGTCAAGGGAAATAATTTCTTCAAAAACGTCGATGTCGCTTACAGGATGAAAGAAAAAAGAGTTTAGAAAATTGCCAGTGAGGTAATCATTGAAATCACCAGAGCTAGTAATTTAAGCGGCAAGATTTGGACTGATATTAACAAAGTGATCATTGAACTCATCTGCAATATCTGAACTAGTGGAACAGTTGAATGATTAGACTTATTTAAGGACTTCATTGACCACTTACCATGTTTTGTTGCTATTGCCGCGGGATGCTGAAAATGTGTTTGAATAATACCGTTTCTTGGCTAATTTTAGTAATTTGATTAACAAGTTTCTGTAGGGGTTATATTTATTTAACAAATTAATAACAGTTGATTTGTTTTTCAATTTGCCGAATAATTTATGTTTGATTTTGACCGATTTTGGGAGACCTTGGGATAGCCAGGGTTTTCGAGGAAATTTAGATTTAACGTGAATGGTTTTAATTGGAAGATGTTTAGATAGTGATCTAATATTCAGGTGAAAAAAAACACATGATTGTGAGGAAGAAATAATACTGTTGTTGTATTGGTTAACAGTATATGAATTACAATTTGACTTTAAAGGTGTTGAATCCAAAGTTGTGGGTAATTATAATAATGGATGCTAAAATTGAATACATTTACATGATGCGGTGAATGTCACTAAGTTTTGTTATACTTATCACTGGTTCACCGTTGTCCTTCCTTACATATATTTTACCGGCGTTGGTCCATATGTAGCGATATTGAGCTGCTTTACGTCTTTGATTTGCGCTGTAGAATAGTTGTTTGTTCAATGAAGTCAGGTTTTCGTTGAGGTAAATTGGATTGCTGTCGGTATTAACAATATCATTTGTGGTTTTGTTTTTCAGGTATTTTCTGGAACTGTATATTTTGTCACGCACAGTACGTCTTGTAAACTTCGCAATAATCTTTGAATGTCGTGTTTCTTCTAGTTGAGTGTAGTCATGGCGAGTAGTTCTGCTTGGTAGACAGTGTGAGATGTCGATGTCGCCGCGGGTGATCTCAACTCCAACGGACGACGCGACCTTAATTACTATGTCGTCGGTGTCTTCGTCTTCCATAACAGGGATTCCTTTAATTTCAATGTTATTGCGCCGCGTGTATTGCTGTAGGTCGTTCAAATGTCCTTGCGTTCTAGCTAGCTGGGTTCGTAGATCTTTGTTTTCATTTTTGAAGCTAATCAGCTGGGCTTTGAAGTCCTTAAAAAAGTCACATACATATGTGACTGACTTTTGAAGATTTGCTAGTTTGGTTTGAACATCGGCAAGCGATTCTACCTTCGATGTTAGTTCGAGTAGTGTTTTCTGTATGATGTCCAGTTTTGATACGTCAGGGTGTGGCAAGCTTTGTTCTCCCTTGGCAGCAATCTTGGGTGGTGATGTCGATGGGAATCGAGTTGACTCACATTCTTTTACAGAGATTAAGATCTCCCTGGCAAGGCTTTACAGTTTTTCTTGTTGCACCACAGTCGTCACACTTCATTGCTGTTCAAGTGTGGGTTATAGTGCAGTAACTGCTTACTGGCGTGGAAGAACATTTAACGTTTTTCTGGAGCGATGTAAACAACGTGACACAGCCTGCTGCATGCATTCGTAAAAAAATCATTCATGAAAAAACAGTAATCCAGGAAGCTTCGTAAATTCCAATAATTGTTGTCCTGTAGAGGAAATAAATGGTGAAACAATGTCGTTCATATCATGGAATTTAATTGTATCCGTAATCGTCTGGCCATGAAAAAAAAGAACATTTTAGTATTTTACTAAAGAAACTGTAAAAAGCAAATGACATTCGCTTACTTTTGATGTCATTAAAGCGTCTTGTTCCAATTGCATGTGATTTATTCACATATTTCTGATACATGTATCAGGGGGGAAATCTTCTCTGGGGTTCTCCACACGTGCCAGGGGGGAATCTCGTCTCGTCTCTATGTCACGTCCCCTTGAGGTACGGGGTCGGGAAAGTCATTTAAACTTTACAGTCAAATAGACAAACACAACGAAATACGTTTCAACTCACGTCTTAGTCGGTCAGTCGAGCACTCTATAAGACACAGCGCCCAGGGGAAAAGTCCCCAAGACTATCGCAAGGCTGACCCAAGACTCGCCCAAGACAGCGCACGTCGAGTTCACGAGTAGTTCAAGACATGTTCACGTATTAGTGCGCGTCGCAGCGTGGCCGTGCCTTCCAACTGACACGGTCACGTGTACTTCACGCATTGATGGCACAGGCAGTTCACGACTAGTTTACGTACTTCACGAACAGTTTGCGCATGACACGAGCAGTTCACGACAAAGTTCACGAGCAGTTCACGACTACTGTGCGACAGTGGTGCTCGTGGTCAACCATTCCCTGACCCACACTTTCCTTTGTGTCTTTCTTCGAGGTGGGGTTGCCTTTTCTTGCTCTTCTGCCTCTTCCAGCCTTTCCTGCTGCTCTTCAACAATGGCTAGAGCAGCTGCCGGGTATAGGCATCTTTTCTTCCCTGCAATGATTGTGTCTCTAACATTCAGCATGTTGTCTCTTCCACAGCCCACTTGTATATGGCGTGCCCAAGTCGGCACGACACCGTCCGAATTGCGCAAACTCGTCGTGCCAATACGGGAAGTGCGTAAACTATGCGCAAACTATGCATGAACTCGTCGTAAACAGTGCGGGAGCCTCCCAGTTCGTGCCCCAAAATGGCACGACTTGCCACGACAAAATCGTTGCCAAAAATCGTGCAAGTGTCAGCCTGACTTCACATTGTAGGTTTCTTTTTGACAACAGATTTAAAAATACCATTTAAAACGTAAATTTGTCTTCCCAAAATATTTAAAAAAGAAAACCTTACAAAAACCGTTAAACGTTTACAGCCGAATCCAGTAATACTT